CAAGACCCGAGCAGCGCGCCCAGGGAGAGGGGAGGACCGCGCCAGCCCCTCCGCGGGACGGGGTGCGGGGGATGGCGTGCGCGACAGCGTGTGGTCTGGCCGTCGTGTGTCGGGTCGGGCGAAAGGGGGGGATAGCAAAGGGGGGGGTTGAGAATCAGCTCGCGTAGCTGATTTTCCCGGCGCCTCCCGGCGCCGGAGGCGGCTATGTATCGAGGAATGGGCTCCTCGGTGAGGCCGAAACCAGCTGCATGCAGCAGATTTCGTAACCCCCCCTTTCCCAAACCCCCCCTTTCGCCCGACCCGAGTGTGGGCCGGGTGGCCCTGCTTGAGGGCGCCCGTGGTGCACAGGCCACTCGGCGGGCGGGTCGCTGGGAACCACGGAGGGGTGGCGTCGGCATGGGGCTCGTGCGTCGGTCGGCCGGCCTTCGTTCGGCGGCCGACGGCGGGTGGCGTGCTGTCTAGACGGAGGACCGGACAGGACAGGACATCCGCAGAAGGAACACACCTAGACGGGTGCCTTGCGCGCGTCTGGCAGAATCCCCTGCGATTTGGTTGCGCAACGGCCCTGACTCCTCACTAGGGCACTAGGTGGAGGCACAGGGGGAGGAGGAACGCGGCCAGTCGGCGGCCAGTGCGTCGGCCCCCCTCGGCCGATGCGTTGGCCCTGGTCGGTCCCGACGAAGTGGGTGGTGGTGCTGGCTTTGTCGCTGGCGGTCGAGCAGTGGTGTGCAGAGCTGTGCCACGGCAAGAACAGAGAAGTCGGCGTCCTCATCTGCGTGCGGCGCACTGTATGCGCGAGCAGTGAGCCCGGCGGCTGCTGCGGGTGCCTCTGCGTGACCCTCGAGACGGCGCAGCACGAACCGTGGGAGTGACGCTCGCAGCAGCGCCCGGGTGGCCAGCTGGAGGGTCATCATGCGGATGTACGAGGTCCACGTCTGGGGGACCGAGGTGATGATGCTCGTCGGAGGTTCCCTCAGGGAGGGAGGGAGAGGGAGAGGGAGGAGAGAGAGAGAGAGAGGGCGAGGAGAAAGGGGCAGTGGAAGGGACAAGGAGGGGGCTTCGGAGTCGAACCCCCCCTTGCGAAATTGATCGTGTCATTGTCCTTCCCTTCTCTCCGCTTCGCGCTCTCTCTCCCTCTCTCTCGTTATTCCTCTCGCTCTCTCTCTCTCTTTCTCCCTTTTCCTCTCATCCCCCCCTCTCTCTCGATATATCTCGCTCTCTCTCTCCCTCCCTCTTCATCTCTCCCTCTCTCTCTCGCTCTCTCTCCCTCTCCCTCTCTGATTCTCTCTCTCTCTCTCTCTCTGTGTATTTCCCTCTCTCTCTATCTCGCTCTCCCTCCGTCCCCACCACTCAAGATGGGCGCACGCGGCGGCCCTAGGAGTGCGCCAGGCAGCCGTCTCGTACTCGACCCTTCGGCGAAGCCCTCCAGCGCGACCCCGATCCCAGTGCAGTGCTGCTTAGCGATTCGGGGGAGCCCCCCCGAAAAAAATGCTCCCCCCCCCATGGACGACCACGAGGACCGCGACGACGACGACGACGACGACCTCGACGACGACGACGACGACGACGACGACGGCGACGACGACGGCGGCGGCGACTGGGAAGCCGAGCGAAAAGCAACACACTTCCACACAACCCTTGGGTCCTTACCACAGGGACCCCTACCGAGGTGAACCTTACTAACGGCATCATCACTAAGGGGGCCATGATAAAAAGCGTCCTTACGAAGGACCTCTGACTGATGGAACCCTTACCAAGGACCCAATACTAAAGGAAGCATGAGAAGTCGATCCGTACTAGAGGGATCTTTGCTGAGGAGGTCCTTACTAAAGGCACCCACTAAGGGCTCCTACCTGAAGCGATCCTGACTCAGGGTCCATTGATGAAGGCCCCCTTGCTAACGAACGCGTATTAAAGGCATCCTCACAAGGACTCCCATTAAGAAGGTTGTCTAAATGATACCTTGATAATAGGCATCCTCTCGAATGACTGCCTACTCAAGGAATCTGTACTAAGCATCCCTCGCTAAAGGAATGCGCCCTAAAGATCCCTCTCATACGGTTGGACCAATGCCAGGACCTAGCCCGTCCTTCAGCGGAGACCGCACCCATTCCCGCAGTCCGCGTCACGTGGTGGTCGTGGTGGCCATGGGGGGAAAAACTTGCCACATAGCTTAACAAGAATCTACTTCTTTCTCTGCTCCCACCACCACCACCCCACGCACCACATATCATGACGAAGGAACCCTTGTCATAAGAATTCTTACCCGGGACAGTTACAGAAGGACAGAAGACATCCATAGTTAGAAAACCGTAGTAAAAGGAAGTAGTACAAAGAAGTTCTTACCACAGGGGTCCGTGTGGCGGAATCCTTACTACAGGCACTTTCATCAAGGAGGCCCCACTGAACGCATGCGTGGGATGGACCCCTTAATACAAATATCCGTGCTCAAGAACACACATCCTTTTTCAAGGAGCCAATACGGAAAGGAAGTAGTAGTAGCAATGGGATCATTACCACAGGGGTGTCCTCACCGAGAGGGCACTTACCAGAGGAACTCCCCTAAGGAAATTTTACGAAAAGCATGCTTACTAAGGATCCTAAGTAAGGCCTCATTACCAAGCAGTCCCTACTAAAGGAAGCTTGAGCAATGAATCCTTACTACAGGGATCCGTACTACGGGGATCCTGAATTGCTAAAGACATCCTCACCTTACTCAGGACACCTTACAGAAGGCATCCGCAGTAATGAACCCTTACTGAAGGGAGTATTAATAAGGAATCATTACTACAGGGGGTCCGTGTTGAGGGAATCCTTACTACAAGCATCCCCAGGAATGAGGCCTCACTGAACGCATCCGTACGAAGGATCACTTAATAAAGATATCCGTGCTCAGGAGCCCCCGCACCCTTCATAATGAGCCAGTACGACAAAGAAGTAGCAGCAATGGGATCATTACTACCGGGGTCCTCACCGAGAGGGCACTTAACAGAGGAACCTCCCTACGGAAACCTTACTAAAAGCATGATTACGAAGGATCCGAAGTAAGGCGTCATTACCAAGAAGTCCTTACTAAAGGAAGCTTGAGCAATGAATCCTTATTACGGGGATCCGTACTGCGGGGATCCTGAGTTGCTGAGAGCATCCGTACCTTACTCAGGACTCCATACAAAAGGCGTCCACAGTAATGAACCATTACTGAATGGAGTATTAGAAAGGAGTCCTTACTACATGGGGGTCCTTACGGGATCCTCACTAGAGGCATCCCCACTAAGGAGGCATCACTCAAAGCATTCGTCGCCATGATCCCTTTATGAAGACAAACTGACTCAGGAACCCGACTACATCTTAAGGAGTCAGTGCGAAAAGAAGCAGTAACAAGGGGTCATTACTACAGGGGTCCTTACAGAGGTTACCCTTACTAAAGGAATCCTCTATCACGGGGCCTTACTAAAAGCACGAAGGATCCCTTACTGGAGGAATTAGTACCAAAGAACTCTTACGAAAGGAAGCATGAGCAGTGGATCCTTACTACAGTGATCCTTGCTGAGGAATCCTTACCAAAGGCATTCTTACTGGGGACTCCTCACTGAAGGGATCCTTACTGAGGACTCCTCATTCAAGGGGCTCTTACTAACGAACACTTGCTGAAGGCATACTCGTTAAGGATCCCCCACTAAAGGGAAACTTACTCAGGATCCCTTGATAAGAGGCTTTCTCACGAATGGAATATTAGTAAAGAACTCACTTCTAAGCATCTCTCACTAAAGGAATTCTCGCTATCGATCCATGCGAGTTTCGCAGGGGGGGGATTTGACCCTTGAACCCAAGAAGGGAAAGGGGGAGGGAGGGAGGGGGGGGGCGGACAAGCTAGGTGCACTCGCGCCGTACCTGACGTCCTAGACCTCCCTCCCATCCCCTCCCATTGCGTAGAGCCCCTCTCTGCTCGCACAGTCGGATGTCGAAGGGGACGTCGATCCCCAAAGGGTACGAGATGCATAGCATGGCATAAAATTGAGCAGTGCAGCATTGCAGAGAGAGGGAGAAGGAGAGGGAGAGGGAGAGGGAGAGGGAGAGGGAGGAGGAGGAGGAGGAGGAGGAGGAGGAGGAGAAGGAGGAGGAGGAGGAGGGGAGGGTGTTTCGGTAATCTCGTGCCCTCGGGCCCCGCCGTGGGGGTCACGCCGGCCGCAGTCCGCGGCCCGGAAAAACTCTGCCGACAACCGAAAGAAGCCCCGGCCTCCTCCTCCTCCTCCTCCTCCTCCTCCTCCTCCTCCTCCTCCTCCCTCCTCCTCCTCCTCCTCCTCCTCCCCCCCTCCCCCCTCCTCCTCCTCCTCCTCCTCCTCCTCCTCCTCCTCCTCCTCCTCCTCCTCCTCCCACAGACTGTATGCACTGACCCCCTCCCCCTGAACCCCGAGGAAGCTGGGGGCGCGTGCGCGGGAGGAAGGACGGGGAATGAAGGAGAAGAGGACAGGGAGAGAGGGTGAAGGAAGAGTGGAGGCGTTCCGGCAAATGGAGGAGACAGAGCGAGGAGGGGCAGGTGGGCGTCGGACGGGGAAGGAAGGGGGAAGGCGCGCAGCGAGGACGACGAGGAGAAGGGCAGGGCAGGAAAGCGGGCGAATGCTGAAGACACGGGTCACGAAGGGAGAGTAGATGAGGAAGGGAGAGGGAGACAT